GATTAAATGTGCTCTTCCAGCTGATTCAGCTCATAATTGTTTTCAGCTTTGTGGAACTGGCCTGCTCGATGCTACAAGCACGTTCGGCATCGGGGAGGAGGGGGGGAGCGTGATTCGAGCCACATCGCTTGCACCTAAGCAACCACTGCTTTTTATCTCGGAGATCAATTCCTCTTTATCTGCCAAGACAAGTCTGATACCGGCTTCCCTATGCTGCATGAAACTTTTTTTTTAATTGAGGATATTGATTTATGAATCTACTGGCCCCTTCGGATACCAGCTAGTCTGACATGCTTGCAGGACACGAGACTTTAAGTACTCTCGTGCTGTCCTTCCCCTGCTGCCCAAGAAGCATTTAAAGGAGTGTGTCGTTCAGCTCACAGCACACCCAGCTTTGCTGTCTGGTGCAGCCTGGTCTGCAGGGTCCGCCGGGTGCTCTGGTCCCTGCACCCAATGCAGGCCAGCTGGCCAAAAGCGAGAGAACGGTGCATAGCCCAGCTGGGAGTGAGCGTAGGCTGGCTGTGGTCCCATGGTGTGGCACATACCTGAGGGAATGGTGCTTCTGCCTGTACCCTTGAGTCCTGTGAAGGTCAGTGACAGGAGGCTTGACCAGCCCTGCCTGTTGTGCTGCCCTGAGGGCTTTCAGCTGAGGGATGGCATGGATTCGTCCTGCAGCTCTGATGGTGTCTGGCAGGTGGGATCACCTCAAAACCTTGAGTAAGGGACCTGGCAGCCGATGCTAGCTCTTGAACCTAAAGTCTGAGGGTGGTGCCTGTACAGCCCTTCCTCAGTGGGCATTCAGCAGTGTCCATTTGATGCTGCAGCTGGCAGTGGCTTCTTCTCCTGAGACCGATGTTTTATTGATGCCCAGAGGTGCTGGCAATGGGCACATGTGTCTGTGCATCCAGATGGGAACTGCTGACCCTAGGCCAGGTGAGAAGAACAGGAGCAGGCACTGCTCCTCCTTGGTCCGGGGACCATGGCACTGGCTTGTCTGCCCTGTGGGTGAGCGCCGAGGGCTGCACAGTCCAAGGGCACCTGGGAATAGGGACTACCTCACACTGCACTGCTGTCCTCTCTACTCCAACCATCAAGCAGGTCACTGTTTTCTCCCATCCCTCCCATGCCAAGGCACCCTGTGCTGAACCCCCACCCACATTTGGGCATGGCCCAGAGAGTGGAGGGTGCCACATGTCTCCGTCAGCTTGAAGCTCAGCCTGTCCTGCCAACGAACAGCACTCCCAGCCATGGGATGTGCTGGTCTAGAAGAGTTACCTGGTTTTGGGGGCAATCTGGGGTGTCTGGCACCAGAATCCTGTCCCCAGGATGGTTCTTCTGGATGACACACTGTGCCATCATGGAAGCACAGGGCACTCACAACCACTCACTTGGGACCACACCCCAGCCCTCACTCCAGAGACTCCAGAAAAGCTGTTCACTGAGGTGGTTCATCCACACGTGCACCAGATCTGGGCCAAACCACCATGCAGGCTTGCTCCAGCTTTGCCTGGGGGCTTTGCAGCTCTCTGAGGCTCCCCAGCCTGGGAAGATTTAGCTGCCAGCAAGCCCCAATTGGTGTTTGGGTCAGCATCCGCATGTCTGCTTGTTGCCTGCCCTGGGTCAGACCTGGTCCAGAAAGCTGACAAGCTTCCTGGCACCGACTCTGCCCTGCACTGGTCCTGTGGTTACTGTCAGATCCCCACTGTACTCTCCTCAGCTTGTTTTTTTTGCCCCCTCCTTTTGCAAGTCCATACCTGTCCTCCCCAGGCTAAGGTGCTTCACACGCTGCAGCTATTTGCCCTGTGCCTTCGCACGGAGCCAGCTAAGGAGGGATCTGTCCCCCTCCTGGCATCAAACCTGAGAATTCAGAGCTAAAACCAATTCCATGTACAAGGCAATGGTGGCTGCATTTTTCATGAGCCAGATGACTGCAAACAAAACAAGTCTTTTCCAAACACGGGGATAGCCGGGCCCGTGTTCGGCTGCCGCCCCGCCTGCCGCTGCTGGTCACGGTCACTAAGCAAATGAGCGAGGAGCAGATTTGACAGGCCATCATGTTCCCGTGATCCACGGACAGGATCCGTCCTCACTCCCCAGCTTCCAGCCAGCTTTTCACACCGCAGCCAGCAGCGGCAGGCACACTCAGCTCCCTGGGGATGCAGTGAGGCCACTGACACCGGTGCACATGTGAACAGCCGGCGATGCGTCCCTCTGCTTGACACCCTTCTCACCGCACCACCCAGTCCTCCCAAACCATCTCCAGCATCAGGCTGGGCTGCCCTGTGGGAAGAGCTGCCCTACTTGTTGCTCTTTTTTTTTTCTTTTTTTTTTTTCTTTTTAGCACAATTAATTAAAACCCATCAATCTTCTCCCAAAAGACATTGTGGAAAAGCATTAACCCAGGAGCAGCCAGGCTGCCAGGTGGCTCAGGGATGCCCCTTTGTGTTTCACCACACCACAGGCCCTGGGTGGAGGGGCTGCAGTGTGCACCTCTGGGGTGGACATTGCTGGCCAAGACACAGATGGACCCTGCTGGCATCCTCCCAGCCCTGGTGCGGGATGCAGCTGGGTCACAGAATCACAGAATCACAGAATGTTTGGGGTTGGAAGGGACCTCTGTGGGTCATCTAGTCCAACCCTACAGAAGAAGGTCCCAGAGCTGCTCACCAGACCAGGCTGGGTCTCTCCAGATCAGCAGAGCTTTGCAAACACCTCCAGCCATGCCTTCTCGCAGCAACACTGCGCATCCAGGACCATCCCTCTGGAGATGGTGGCAAGCGTGGGGATGCAGTGGCGGCCAAGTATGGTGCAGTGAGGCCAGCAGTTGTGAGTAACCACCACGTTCATAAGCCTCCAAGACCTTTCATTTTGGTGATGTCTAGACGGAAGCATGTATCAAGGCACAGAAGCTGAGTGCATTTGTGAGAGGGACCTGAAGAGAGCGTGCAGCACACCCCCTGCTCTTCCAGAGCCAGCGTCAAAAGCCTTTTGACTCAGAAAGTAATGAGCAGGTTCCCTAATGACTTCCTGAAATGCCCAAAGCGAAGCACTGGGAGCCTGGGAAAGGCCCGATGGCTTATTTTTTCCTGTAGGAGAGGGATTTTGAGCACAGGTCTCCATGAACATGATGGAGATGTTCTCCTGGCTGGATGGGACTGGGAGGCTCTGGGACATAGGGTGTGGTGGTGGGGTAGGATGTGCTGCAGGGCTGCTGGTGTTTAAATAGGCTGTGGTCTGACTTTGCAACTTGTGCAGAGGGGTCATTGGAGAAAGTGGGGTGACTTCACCCTGGCTAAGTCCCTCCCTTTATTGAAAATGATATCTGAATCAGTATTTTAATGATAAATATATAACAGGGTCTTAAAGCCAGCAGTAAGTGACGGGTCCCATCCCTCATCTGCCTGGTGCCAGCCCCAGTGTCTGCTCTCCAAACATCTCAGGAGAAGAGCCTGCTCCTTAAAACCAGCGAGGCAGGGTGCCCTGGGAGCCAGTGTGATAGATCTTCTCCCTTCCAGCCTGTGGGGGTCCAGGGGTACCCCAACCTGTCCTGTGCCTGGCATCACCAGCATCACTGTGGTGAGACCAGGCTCGTCCCCACTGTGACTCAGATGCCGCAGTGCTCTCACTGCATCTCCTGCCAGCACCCGACCCATTTAGAGGAGTGGAAAGAACGCAGCTGAGCTTGGGTGTGGGGTTTGATTTATTTATTTATTTCCAGACAGAGCCTTCCTGATGTAAAATCGATGCTGGCAGGTAGGTGATGGCTCTGCGCCTGCAATGGGAATGGCTTGAGCTCTGGTGCTGGATCCAGGCCCCCAGAGGTGACAGGCAGCTTGTCCCCAGCTGACAGCACCTCCAGGCTGCACCCCTTGGGTAGGGTACAGCCCCCGTGGGCACCCCCTGCCTTGGGTGCCTTGTCTTCATCCCAGGGGCAGCGCTGGCAGCCCCTGAGTCATGGGTGGGTGGGAAGGCTTTCCAGCAATGCGTACTCAATGAGACAGCCCTCCCCAAAAGGCTGTGGTGCTGCTGGATTTGGAGTTATTTTACTGTCACCTCCTCACCAGGGGACAATCCCTCTGAGTCTGCTGTCCCCAGGGCAGCACTGTGCTCCTCATGCAGAAAGACATTCAGGGCTCTGCTAGGCTGGGGAGGTTTGCAATGGCTTTGGGGACCAACGGGAGGTTTTGGAGGATGCAACGGTTTTGGGGACCAGCAGCTGTGGGTGAGTGCTCATGGCCATGGGTGGATGCAGTGCAGCAGCCAGAGCACGGAGTGTCACAAGTGCCCTGGACTTGCACACGGGCATGGCAGGGGATGCTGGAGCATGTCTGGGTGCCAGCCTAGGGCTGGGAAGCAGCTCAGGGTGTGCACATCTGTGCCTTGCACAAGCTGGGGACACCCGACATCTGTGACACCCCCATGGGCACCAATTCCAGCTGCAGGGGCTGTCCTGAATGGGGTCCCTGAAGTCTTCTTCTGCCCCTTTCCAGGGCAGTGCCTTGCCACCCTCCATGGTGCAGAGGTACCAGGGCAGTGGCGGGGTGCTGTGCTCGGAGCCTGCTGGAACCTCCTCTGGGACCGAGGGGCTGCTTTCAGCACTGGCAGAGCAGGTCTAGGGGGGGCCTTAGCAACAAGCAGGCAACTTTGTGTCCATTTGGAGGGAAATGGAGCTGTCGGAGTCAAAGTAAATAATTAACGTTGTTAACTGCGGAGGAGAAAGAAGATATAACAGAGGGTGCTCAAGCAGAAAACCTGGGATTCACTGCTGCCAACTCTCCTGGGCACAGTTGCCCCGTTGTCCCGCTCCCTGGTGCCCAGTGTCCCCGGGTGCCATCCCTGCTGCCTCCCCCTTGCCCCCCACAGCAAGCATGACTTACTTTGCCATCTCCCACCCGTTTTCACACCTCGGCCGCTAGCTTTCACACTGTGGTTTCCTTCTGATGCCGGCACGGCTCGATTCGTCTGCCCTCCCTGCTCTTCCTCCTCCTTCTTCTCCTCCTCCTCCTCCTCCTCTTCCTCCTTCTCCTCCTCCTCCTCCTCCTCCTCCTTCTCCTCCTCACAGGGTGTCCGTCATCAGCCCCCACCGCCCTCCCAGTGCCTGGCCCCATCGCAGAGGGAAGCCCCCTTCCCATGTGGGCAGCTATTGATTCGTCTTGTTTTGCTGCTCCCTCCTGTGCTTCATAAATGTCAACTTTTTTCTCTGACAAAGAAATTTTGTGGTAATGACTCTTTGTGCCGCTTCTAAATCCCCAATTACATAAGCAGCAGCAGCACAAAGCCATTCCCTTTGGTGGAAATCTCCGCGTAATCCCTTTTCCAGAGAAGCAGCCCGCCAGTGACACGCTTCTAACTCTTTGTTTGTTCTTTTGGATCAAATCTAACTGATTGCCGTGACTAATTAACTTTCCCTTTCTTCGGGCCTCTGTTGTCTTAATTAATTTCACAAATACTTCATTCCCAGCTCCCAGACAGCAGGCTCAGTGGTGCAAATCACTGGCGAGTGGCAGAGTGGTGAGGCAGGCGTCTCCAGTGGGGCTCTCGGTGTGCCAGTGCTCTGGCCGGGCTAGCCTTGCGGGCACTTTGGTTTCATCACAGCAGGGATGTCCCTCCAGCCATGTCCCCAGTGCCACCAAGCCACGGAGCCAGGCTGTGCGGTGGGATCCTACCTGGGTGCATCCAACGTAGTGGGGCAGGAGGTGGCTCGTTGGAGGTGTGCATGGGTGCACCATCGCCTGCTGCTGCCTCTGGGGCTCCTCCCTGAGCAGGGCTTCATTTGGGTCCTCTCCCCCTTCCAGCATCTTCTGTATCCTAATCTTCACCCAGGGCATTTTCCCCTGCCCCGCAAGCCCCTCCTGAGTCAACGGCCAGACATGGAGAAATTCAGCCCATGCAGAGCAGTCTGGTGAAGGACCAGCTTTGCAAGAGCTTGCCCCATTCCCTTCCTGCTGGATCCTAGTACAGTGGCCACCACTACTGTCCCCCTCAGCTGCCTCACCAGGAACCCTAATGCCTGCAGCAGCCCCCGGCATCAGTCCTGGACAAGCATCAGGGGACAGGGCCCATGATCTGCAGGCACGTGGCTGTCAGGGCTAGATCTTCTGTGGTATGGATGTGCATCTCTATGTGGTTATCCCCCAGGCTGGGTTTTTCTGGACAAGGGCTGGGTTGAGATCAGAATTAAATACGTCCCGTTGTCCTAGCCAGCACTGCACAATGAAGCCAGCGCTGCATATTCATGAAGGCAGTGCATTGCATAGCTGCTAATGCCTTGTGAGTGTAGCAATCTTTAAGATCCTATCTGCTTTTTCAAAAAGCCCTTTGTATTTGTTATCAGTCTGTTGGTATCTCAGGTCTGCCCTGGATGAATAAACATTGGAGCTCTTCCACTCAAAGGCACTCGGTCTGTGGAGTGCAGCAATAGATGCTCGCTGGAGATAAAGGGCGAGTAGCCTGGCAGCTGGCAGGGAACGGATGCAGAGCAGCTGCAGCCCCGGCTGAGATCGCTGCCAGCTTTTGTGTGCACGACCTGCAGCTGAAAGCGGGGCTGATTGCCCTTGTCACCCCATGGGGAGGGCTTTGCTCCATGGGAAGGTCACGAGTCTTGGGGGAACCTGGGACTGGGGAGTGGGGGCACACGACTTGGAGACTGCTCCAGTCCTTAATGTGGCAGAGTTGTGTGGCCACCATGTCCCATGTGGCAGGGGAGGATGGGGCCATGAGCACGGCAGGTCTTAGCGCATCCTGTCGGCTTGCGGAATCTGTTGAAGGTGCCCCAGGCACAGGCTAGCACGTCTGGCAGAGCTTCAGCATCCTGAAATCAAGAGCAGCATCATGCAGGGCAGCGAGAGGGGGAGATGGACAACTGAGAGCTCTGAATCTGCATTGAAAGGGTGACCCTGTTTGCCATCAAGGCCTTTGGTAGCAAACAGAAGAGCTGGAGGAAATCCAGGAGCTTGAAGGGGGTTCTGGGGGGTGGTAGCCCATCATCCCAGCAGATTCTGGGATCTCCAAGGGACCCATACTTTGGAAAACATGAGGCATTACCGGAACAGAAGATGGTTTGGTCTTAAGGCTGCCAGAAGAAACCAGATCCTTTGCAAAGGGTGGATTGAAATCCACTTGCAATTAAGCAAAGGCAGTGCTGCTGCATTTCCTTGTGGGTCGGCCAGCCTTTACAAATCAGAGACTGCAATCGCTGGCCGCGCTGTCGTACCCGGCGGCTGCAGTTCACATGGGGCAGCACCCACCCCTCGCCTTGTGAGCAATAAGACATCCACTTCCACTCCCAGGAAGCTTGTTTCTCTGTTGCAGTGCTTGTAGCTAAAAAGCTTCTATCACTAGACAGCAGGGTACTTGGCCTCAGGGGACAGAATCTTTGGCACTGCGGCTTGTCTGGCCCACTGGCAGATGGGGGGTAGAGCTTCAGAGGAAAGGGCTAAGGACAAATTTTAAAAGATTTGGTTTTCCTTTGTAGAAACCTTTGATTAAACCGTAGCAGCTGGGATTGAGCTGGTGCTCATCTCCCTGGCCTCCCACCCACTACTACTTCATCTCCCTCTCTACTGGCTTTGCTTCTTTTCTTTTTTTTCTCCCTTTACTTTGGAAGGGAGCAGATCAATAAATAAATAAACCAACAGAAATGTTATTTCTCTGGTGAGAGGCTCCTTGAAGTTCATCAGAAATATCAATCCCAACCTCCTGTGCATGCGCAAGCAAGGGAGAAGGGATGCGATTAGCCCCTGGGGAAAAACACCAGCACAACGCGTTGGGCCTGTTCTGGAGGGTGGTGGACTGACAGTTTAACAGCAGAGTTTGAGGTCTTACTCACTGGCTAGAAGATTTTAACATGAAAGCGACAACAGTCAAACAAATGGAAGGATCATCTTGCGAGATTAAATGTCCTTGTCACTAACCCATCAAAACATGGCATTATTTTGAAGGGACAAATCATACCGAGGAGTTTACAGCAGATTAAACCTGAAATTCCAGGGGATATTTGGCAGATAAAACTGCTGCAGGTGGCATCAGTGTTGCAGAAGCAGCAGGTGACTGCGTATCAAGCCCTGAGACAACTTGTCCCCAGGAGGATAAGGACCTGCCTGGCCTTGCAGGGATCCCCAGACATTCATCTGCCACGCAAAGGAGCATGTAAAGCCCCGGAAAGTGCTCCCAAATCGACCCAAATATTTCTCCACAGGATGGGTAAATTCGAACTCCAAAGTTTACTTAACTGACATAATAAGTCAGGATCTGCAAGCTTTCATCTTGGGTCTCGACCGCTGCCAAAAGTGCCCCACGCTGCTGCCTGGAAGAGTTTGCAGAGGAAACCCCCCTGCAGACATCCCCAGGCTAACACGCACATCCATGCAAAGCCACGCTATCTGGGTACATTCCTGAGATGAGGCATGTCCCCATGTCCCACCAGCAAGGGCAGGGTCCCCAGAGCAGAAGCCCACAGTCCAGAGCCAAACAATGAAGGCTGTGTGTTGGGCACGGCCACAGCCACCCTCATCTTTGCCCCCCTTCATCCCTTTCTTGGAGAAGGATGGGAGTCAGGGTGAAGGTGGACAGGACCTTCCTGGTCTCTTCCATGCTACAGCACTGCCACAAACGAGCTCTGGCCACATTTGACTGAAGGAGGGAACAGGTTTAAGGAAGGAGCAACCAGGGGAGTGCACGACAGGTGTCTGCCAGGACAATCTATGTGCAGTGGTGCCAGTGAGGAACCACGTGGCAGTGATGTGTGTCCTGGGACAAGGTGGAAATAAGGGATATACCTGGCTCTGAAGCGTTAAACCAGCTCCTCTCCAGGTGCAGGTGTTAATGGGAGCTCAGCTTGGATACAGGCTGTAGGATAAAAGAGTCTTGCACGGACGACAGGAAGCTAATCTGAGAGTTATTGGCTATGGGTCAGCAGCACTAGCAGTGGCTGAGAAGAATGAAACGCAGCGTCAGAGAAGCTGGAGTTTCTCACTCCAAAGCAGACTGTAACTGATAAATGTTGAGACTTCCTCTGCCGCACGCTATCCTTCATGGTTTACAGCAATAACAACCCACTGACCTATGTCTTCACCCCGGCAAAGCTGAGTGCCGCAGCGTGGTGTGCTGATGGGTTACAGGCTAGGCTGCCTTTAATGTCCCAGTTAAGCAGCATTCCGAGAAATCTAATGTGGGGACAGGTGCTCTGTCCGGAGTGCTCTTCAATAGGGAAAAATCACAAGGATACACTGCAGAGGGAATATTAATGCCTTCTCCCAGTCCTTGCCTACAAAAGGAGACAGCAAGATATCTCGGTTAGCAGCTATTGCTGTCAGTCAGTTGACAAGAAAATACTTGTGTGCAAAGTCTACACCATAGCCTATTCCACGGGAAGATGTTGGCAGCTTGAAAGAGAGCTACAGCAATTGCTAAATGTCTTCCATGAGGATTTTCACAGCTCAGTGTAAGCAAGGGGATGCACGGGAAGAGACAGTAGGAGCACTCCTATGTCAGCACTGAAATATTGATTGTGTTCGGGTAAAGAGAAACTGCAAAATGGGAAAAGAAAGTCAGAAAACTGGCATCACTTGGAAAATTCAAATATGTAAAAATCACAGTGAAGGGTAAGTGGAGGTGAAAAGTGATCAGCCTGGTGGGATGAAGACCTGAAAATGATGTTGCTAGATCCTGTCAAGCAGAACTCCCACAGCCAATGGGAGCATCTCTCACACAGCTCCTGGAAAGCTCTGGAGCTTGTACTCATCAGCTCCGTGCAGTAAGGCAGCAGCATGGAGAGACAGAGGATGTTAGAGGCAAAAATTTCACTGGCTTTGTCCAAGTCTGTCGTGCCTTCGGGAGGGTGGGGAGGCAAGCAGCACCTTCAGTTATTGTGTTCTAACATTTTCCTTCCTTTGGAGAAATTTGGTATCACCAGGCCAGCCTGTTTCCAAACCACTTACCCTGAAGTATCTTACTCCCAGGGGCACTACAGAACCAGCACATCTCTCCTGTTCCCTCCCCAAGCCACCTGCACGGCAGAGCACACTTGAAGGCCAGCACACATAGGGCAGAAAGAGCCAGAATCACAGGACAATTGTAGGACGAATCTGCTGCAACTGTCCAAGGTTACACCTGCATTCATGAGTGCTGTTGGACACCTGCATTTGTC